CCTATTGGTTAGTCAAAGCCTGAATATCACCTTTCTGACAGCTGTACACTCTAATGCTGGGTTGAGATCCCCTCCAGGAAATACAGAATCATTTTCCCTCAGCATGTTATTACAACCAATTTATCAACCACACCTCCTGCACAACATATGACTACTCTATGGCAACCCCCACAATCACAACACTTGCCCCATAAGGGTACTGGTAATAATCAGAGTCATAACAGTTATGACTCCATCGTGTTATATTGCCTACATTGTATGAGTGATTTTTATTGGATACATCTCAATGTCTCCTTAGATGTATTGTTTTGTTGGCGAAAACCACAATGAGTAGGCTGCACTTCGGCATACAAAACCCTATTGGCCTTACTAGTAACAGTATGGTATGATCAATTCAGGAGGTGGAGTCAAATACTCTATGATTCATTGATGCCATACTTACTATGACTTTGAAGGGAAAGGGTTGTGTTGTGCAATGGGTTGTTGATTTTGGGGCACTTTATGGCTAGTCTAATCCCTCGTGGCCATACGAGTTAAGTGTGTTGTTGGTTCTGTGCCGCTGCATAAGGCTTTCCCCCAGGCAGGCTGACCTATAGCGTGGATGGTTCCTTACTTTGATAAAATTATAGTACGTCTGGCAGGTCCAACTTCAGAGTAATGGACAACTTATACTGTAGGTCATGGCCCAGGGCCTTTGCTTTAATCAAGCTGGATGTCTGGAAGTGGGAGAGGCAGAATGTGAAGCATTTTTTTTTTTTTGGACATGCACTACAGTATGAATACCAATTTGTAGGAGGCACAGACCTACAGTACATGATTGCTGTCGAAGGTCATAATTGTACACAGCAAATTAAACTGGGACAGTGTTAAATGTAACACTTTCAGTGTACACGAGTCCCACCAATCTAGTGTTAAATTAACCCTTTTGAGTGTTAAAAAACCACACTGCCTTGAGAGTTAATATGTACACTGTGAGAGTTAAAATGCAGTTACAGTGCCTTTGGAAAGTATAAAACATTTTACGTTACAGCCTTATTCTAAAATTGATTTTTTTTAAACCATCTCTGCAGCACTCCACCAATCAGACCTTTATGGTAGAGTGGCCAGACGGAAGCCAGTCCTCAGTAAAAGGCAGATGACAGCCCACTTGGAGTTTGCCAAAAGCCACATAACAAGATTCTCTGGTCTGATGAAACCAAGATTTAACTATTTGACCTGAATTCCAAGCGTCACATCTGGAGGAAACCTGGCACCATCCCCATGGTGAAGCATGGTGGTGGCAGCATCATGCTGTTTTTCAGCGGCAGGGAGACTAGTCAGGATCGAGGGAAAGATGAACGGAGCAACGTACAGAGAGATCCTTGATGAAAACCTGCTCCAGAGCACTCAGGACCTCAGACTCGGGTGAAGGTTCACCTTCCAACAGGACAATGACCCTAAGCACACAGCCAAGACAACGCAGCAGTGGCTTCGGGACAAGTCTCTGAATGTCCTTGAGTGGCCCAGCCAGAGCCTGGACTTGAACCCGATTGAACATCTCTGGAGAGACTTGAAAATAGGTGTGCAGCAATGCTCCCCATCCAACCTGACAGAGCTTGAGAGGATCTGCAGAGAAGAATGGGAGAAACTCCCCAAATACAGGTGTGCCAAGCTTGTAGCGTCATACCCAAGAAGACGGCAGGTAGCTTAGTGGGTAAGAGCGTTGTGTCAGTAACCGAAAGGTCGCTGGTTCTAATCCCCGAGCCGACTAGGTGAAAAATCTGTCGATGTGCCCTTAAGCAAGGCACTTAACCCTAATTGCTCCTGTAAGTCGCTCTGGATAAGAGCGTCTGCTAAATGACTAAAATGTAAATGTAAGACTCGAAGCTGTAGTCACTGCCAAAGTTGCTTCAACAAAGTACTGAGTAAAGGGTCTGAATACTTATGTAAATGCGATATTTAATGTTTTTAACGTAACAATTTTGTAACGTAACAAAATCTGGAAAAAGTAAAGTGGTCTGAATACTTTCCGAAGGCACTGTGTATACGGCTATGAACACCTATTTTGTGTATTTAAAGTCACCGAAGGCGTATCAGAACATCCAACACACACATATTCATTGATAAATACAGTTTAATCACAATCCAGGAATACTGATAATCATTTGTTTATTCTCACCTGACATATAAATCATAAGTTAGTGAGCTTTGTCTAGACTCAATCATTCAACAGAAATGCATTAGGAACAAGAAATGTTGTCTTTGAAGTCTGTCCATTGTTCATCCTGTTGCTATAGCATATAACAGATATGTTACAGAAAACATGGATTTGAATGGATGAAAAAACCAGATATTACTGTTATACAATTGATATTGTTTCATTAATAGAGTAACATTATAACCTAAAGAAATAAGGGAGAAAAATATAAACACAGATATCTATATCTAAATACATTTATGGCAGTACAGAACATGTTGACATTCCATAATGGGCCAGACAACATTAGAAGCCAGCAATGATGAGTGCACTTAATGCATGAAACAGTGTAAGATTGAATATGCCAATGTGACTGACCGGGATTCAAACCCAGGTCTGCTGCATGCCACAATACTGTGTTAGCCCTCTGAGCTAAAGACTAGGCATTAGCTCTGAAGGGCTAACTCAAGTCTTTACGTCTCGGGAAAGATTACTCATCTTACACCAAGACCAAGAGATATTATTCATCTTACACCAAGACCAAGCCAGCACTGCCTCATCTACACAGTAGAGAAGGGGAGGAAAACCCCAGGGTCTGTAACTGTTAAAGGCCAGCATATGTAACCACACACACTCTACCATCCTATCACTCATACCCAAAACACACAACAAGCTTAATGATCAAGTAGCAAAGCATATTTACATACCAGCGATACGTCACTACTAAATTATAAGCAATTGGCTGCAAGTTGGTAATGGTACAATACATGGGCGCACGGTTTATCCTTTACGCATATATAATGTGTTATGCATATTTGAAGACTGTCGTTGTGAATCCTAGTCATTGACCCCAGGATATGATTGGTTGCTCTATAACCAACCAGAGAATGGCAGCTTATCACAATCTCTTTAACTGTACTTGTAATGTGCGATACAGGTCTAAGATGATAGGGTTAGAGTTATTATTTATCGCCACTACTCATGCAATATAACATGCATAGAGAAACAAGAGACAGTGCCATCTTGGCATGTTCTCTCACCCAGAGCAGCATGATATGAACAATGGCAATGTTTCACCAAATAAATGTTAGCTACTTCCATGCCGTTGATTGCATTTCCTAATTTGATGTGTTAGATGTTTTGTTACAATCTAATGATTATGGCTCGTTGTCCTTGCCCTGTAGAACAGCATTCATGCATCAGTTGTATACTGAGAGACTAATACATCTTATTTGCTTCTATGATAACTGTGCAGAATAGATTATAGAAATATAGAAATGGATGATATACTGGTATCAGTGGTTCGCAATACCCTTGATTTATGATGCATTTCGTTGTATTATTTATATTGTCTGTGCATTTGATAGATAGTCTCTCATGGCATTCAATGCTTATAAATCTGAAGAAAGGAATCAAAAAAATATAATCAACCCCATATGTTCATTCAATAGATTTTCAAGCATTTAAAGAGGACAGAAATCTGTATTTCACATTGTCTTATAAAACAGACAACTAATTAGACAACCCCAAATAAAAATGATCACACATCAAATCTGTTATATACATTATATTTACAGTTGGAGGTCATTTCAGCAGTAAAGATCAGTCAAAGACTAAAAACCAAACAAGCCCGCAACCCTGCCATGGAATGTTGTGAACAGAGGGAATCTATTTTCTACAATGCTAGTGCACAAGAGAGGGAGTTAATATACTGTAGTTATAGTCAACGTTACACCTTACAAAAATATCAGAATATTTCACAAAGACATGTTATACAGTAGATAGCACGAGGCCGTTGGCAGGAGAGTTCAACAGCTATCAAAGATGGAGCTGATTTAAAGGAATGCCGTCAATTTACTGAGTGTAATCCTGTCATGCTGTCACAATATCAGGTAGAAAAGATGTGAACCATGACAGATTCATTGAGTGCAGCGGTGGGTATGTCTAGATTACCAATCAATATTCCAAATTCAATTGTTTGACAGGATTTTGAAGAAGTAATGGATGCCAATTAGCAAAATCCAGAACCTGAGATATTACAACCCTCAACAGTAGACATTAATTTGCACTTAATTTGCACCTATGTTAAAATGATATAGTTCAGTATGTAATAATAAAGATAATAATGATCATGATAATACTACTACTATTACTACTAATACTAATACTAATACTAATAATACACTGTACATAGACATACATAAACAGGACCACTTCACTGTAAAATCTGCAAATACTGTATGTGAACCTGAAAAATATTATCTGACCAAGACAAAAAATATATCCGTGATAAAGATGGCAAGCATCACAAAACATGAGTATTTGTTTTTTGCATTGATCCACATTCATGACAAATAATATTAAATTATGAAATTCTCATAATTATACATTACAATTCATTGTGTATATGCATTATACATTACATAACATTTGTATTTTATTTGGGTTTGTTTGAAAAAACCTATGTAAGGGTTACCTTTTATTTTTTGCAAATTGCACATATTGAATTGGATATAAAGATCTCCATTATCAAACTGCAGAGAGGGCAAAAAGACTGGGAAGTATATTGTCCCAGTCCTACAGTGTGTGTATTTGTCTACGTAGTTCTGTACATAGTTCTGTAGCAATCCACCACAATCCACAATTTGAGTATGACTGCAAATATAAAATCTTTAACAAAGAAGTCAAAGCATTTTGTCCGTGTTATATAGAGGCAGTCCTTTGTTTTTCGATAGCAAAACATTTCCTGTCACGTAAAAAAGAAACAACAATGACAAAGGAGAAAAAAAGAATCATAACACCACCTAACCCTAAAATCAGTCAATCAGTTGACATAGTACATCCAGTAGATTAAATTGAAGAGGGAGAAAACAGAGGGGAAGATAATCCGCGACCACCTGTCGATGGCGTTTACGTCCGTCAAATCAGGGATTTTGATTTTGAGCTGCGACGAGCGCCGCCGCAGTTTGTGCCTCTTGAGCTGGGCGTGCCTGTCGAGGCTGTGGCGAGGACCCGAGGCCCGACTCGCCTTCCTGCACTGGACGCCGGTACCTGTGCTGGTGTTGTCAAATCCCAGGACGGAGGAGTTCCTGCTGTCCGCCAGGCTGGTGGTGACCTCATTTCCTGCCACCTCGTTGTGGATCTCCAGGGTGGTCAGCAGGATGTTACCGTGGGACTCCGCCTGGAGATAGAAGTAGAGGATTGACGTATGATCTGGAGCTACAACAACATGATGGTCCTGCTCTGGACAGGTTCATGGGTGAGATGAGAACCGGAACTATGTCCATTATAGACCCATTTAGACCAATGACATACATTGGAGAATCAAGATACGAGACTATGCAGGAATGAGAACAAGGCACTTTGAATGAACGTTTGAATGGATTACACAGCACAATATCTGTTTTGTAGCACCACTATGGAACACAGACATTGGTGGGCTTGCATACTTGCATTGGACGTGCAAATGTCAAACCAGAAGTTGAACAAAGGACGATGACAACTTGGGTAACAAGCAACACGTACAGACTGCTCACTAAGTTCTCATGCGGACATGAAAAAAACAAACATGTAATGTCAGTCAATGGTGACTACAAGTCTACAAGTCAGACAGATAGTGAAAAAAAGACGTGTCCGCTGGTCAAGACTCACCGACTGTGAGACACGGAGTGTTTTTGCTCTATTAGGCTGCTTAGTCAGCTTAAGAGATGACGTTTTACCTCCTTCCTGAGGAGACTAACCACAAGAAACACAACACCATATTTATAGAGTTTCTGATCTGCCGTCGTATGAGTGTGCGGACTGCAAATATAACGCCCGATAACTTCTTAACCTGAAACCCAAGAAACTTTGAAGAAGTTAGAGCGTCTCGACAGAGATCTTCATGAAGACTTACCCTATTGGTGTCGTATTTGGCTGCCCTCTCGTTGTTGGCCCTCTCGGCTTTCTCTGCCAGCTTCTTCTGCATCTGTGGTCCTCGGCCGAAGAAGATGTAGTTGACGAAGGCGTACTCCAACAGGGCCAGGAAGACCATTACGAAGCAGCCCATCAGGTACATGTCGATGGCCTTGACGTAGGGGATCTTGGGGAGCGTCTCTCTCAGATGGGTGTTGATGGTGGTCATGGTGAGCACAGTGGTGATCCCTGGATTACAAGTTACAAGAGACAGTCTTTTTTTATTATTGGACATAAAGACTGTAAAAACATCAGGAAATCAGCTCCAAGTGATTTTAATTTAAGAAATCTGTTCCCAAGTATTCCCACACTTAATGGAGAGACATTTGATCATATACAAATGTAAGCAAGGTTTGAAATGATTATGTTTTAGTCAAACATTATGTCTGTTTGGGCTTCTTGTGGTCAATTTGCAGTCTATAAAGGATTTGTAATCATGTTCCCTTCCCAGAACAGAGCAGAATATTATTTGATATAATTTTTGCCTCGGATTGCCTCGTTGTAGCCTGCTGCTCCAATCTGTTTGTGATTTGGCCAATTAACTCCTCCTCCAAAACATGCATGGTGTGACAATGGTAGAAGAGTTGGCTCCAGTATATTAATGGGACTGGGCTAGTCTTGTTGTGCTCTGAGCCAAAATTTGAGTTAATAACCTCCCCTAATTGAAATTCAAAAGTTAGTCCTCTACATTCCCCTTGGACACCACCAGCCTCAAATAACTCATTGAATAATTGTGTACATTCAGCCTCCAGCTGTGAGTGATATTATAACCGTGGCAAGAGTTGAATTGAATGTCTCATGTCAAGTATCCTATACATTATGTCCTAAAGAAAGGTCCCTTTATAGAAACAATGCTTTCTTTGAACATGCTTTATCTGTTGTCCATGCAGAAAGACATATGTAGGAAAACTGACATCCAGCAAAATAGTAACATATCTTTTCCTTTATAAGAAATATAAACAGTGTGTATCGGTAGCTAGTACTGTCATAAAGTAACATTGGAGGTAGTGAGAGTGTAGGATCAATCTGGCCCTTACCTTGATTTATTGGTAAATTAAAGGGGCCAGCTCGACTTAAGTATTACCGGTTTGCTGTGTCAGTGTGTGTGTGTGTATGTGTGTGTGTGTGTGTGTGTGTGTGTGTATATGTGTGCATGTGTGTTTTTCTCTCTCTGAGGAACAGCTGCATTCTCCCCTTTTGCTTTTATTGATTGCAGCGATCTCTGGGGTTTTGCTTAACGACAGCCATGTTCTTTATAGGTGTTCCCTCTGCGGTTCTGTTACTCTCTGTCCTTCACTGCACCGCCGACCGGACAATTTAATCACAGGGCCATGTGCCCGTAGGCGCCCCCTCCTTTTTCATCAGGAGACCGGACTCTCTGGGTATAAATATATTTTTATGGTCTCTCTCTCTCTCTCTCTCTCTTTCTCTCTCTCTCTAATACTCAGGGAGAAAAAGGTGTAGATTCACACACAGAGCACGGCAGTTGTTTATTTCACCTTCGCAAAAGGCAGGAATTGTGGTCACAGGCAGGCAATGGTCATACACAGGTAGGCAAACAGGCAGGAGAATCAAAAACTAGGACTGAAGGCTATAACTGGTTCTCACAAACGAGCTAGGAAAAGGCTTAGTAGAGTCAAAATGAACAATACCTCACAAGGCACAAACAGAATGAACTGAACTAAATAAGGAGATAATGAGAACAGGTGAAATCAATGAACAAAAATGAAAGACAGGGCTACGTTCAAAAACACAAAGAAACAGGGCTACGTTCAAGAACACAAGGTTGACTAAGAAAATAAATACAGAGCCTTACAGTACCCCCTCCAAAGGGAGGCTCCTGATGACCCAACGGCACCGGAGGGTGGAGCGGGCGGGCGGGGGAGCAGAGGCAGCCGCCTACCTCGTGGGCGAGGTCCGGCAGGCTGGTTCGACAAGGTCGTGGACTGACCCGACGTTCTGCGTCGAGGCTGATGTCCAGTGGGTCTGTTCGGGGGTCGACCCCGAGGTCAGGGAGTGGGACGATCCGGACGGTTACGGTGGAATGCCTGAATCATCTCTGGGTCGAGGATGTCCTGGTCAGGAACCCAGGACCGGTCTTCAGGCCCAAAATTCCCAGTCTACTAGATAGTGGATGCGACCTCTCAGGCGTTTGGAATCAAGGATGGCCTGAATGGCGTAGGCAGGTTCCCCTCCGATGTCCAACGGTGGGGGCGCACTGCGGGTTGAGACTGGAGAATAAAGAGGACTGTAGGTGACCGGTTTTAACAGAGACACATGGAAGGACAATGAGATTTTATACTGACGGGGTAACTGGAGGCGGTACATGACAGGGTTGATGCGATGAGTTATCTTGAAGGGACCAATGAAGCGAGGACAAAACTTTTTGCAGGGGAGGCGGAGCCAGATGTCTCTGGTAGAGAGCCACATACGCTGTCCGGGGTGAAAGAGTGGTGTAGGTTGGCGGCGTCTGTCGGCAAAGCGTTTCTGGGTATTAGAGGCTTCCTGCAGATGCCGGTGAGCGTTCTCCCATATCCGCTCACTATGCCGAAACCAGTCGTCGACAGCTGGGACAGTACCAGGCGCCGCCTCCCAGGGAAACATGGGGTTGGTAACCAAGTACACACTGAAACGGAGTAAGGTGAAGGGATGAATGCATGAGTGAGTTCTGAGCATATTCGGCCCAGGCCATATATTGACTCCAGTCGTGTGGAGAGGCAGAACATTGTTGGCGGAGGTACTTCCCTATTTCTTGGTTCAGGTGTTCTGTCTGCCCGTTGGTTTGGGGATGGTACCCGGAGGAGAGGCTGAGGGCGACCCCCAGTCGGTCACAGAAGGCTCGCCACACCCGGGAGACAAACTGAGGCCCCGCGGTCAGAGACGATGTCCTCCGGAATCCCATACAGACGGAACACCTGCTGGAACATAAACTCAGCCAATTCCATGGTGTTAGGTAAATGAGGAAGAGGAACCAGACAACACCTTCTTTTTTTTTAACGGTCTACTATGACAAGGATGGTGGTGTTACCAGAGGATTCAGGAAGGTCAGTGATGAAGTCAACAGCTATGTGGGACCAGGGTCTGTGAGGGATTGTCAAAGGTTGAAGCTTACCGGAAGGGAGATGACAAGGGCTTTTGGTTTGGGCGTAGACTGGACAGGTTAGTACGTAATCCCTTACGTCAGATGCCAGTGAGGACCACCAGAACTTACGGGCTAGAAGTTTGGTGGTTCGTATAATGCCCGGATGTCCTGACCCCAAGGACGTGGAACACCATTGCATCAGTTGGGGTCTAACAGCTGCTGGTACGTAACTCTTCCCAGCTGGTGTCTCAGGAGGAGCCGGGTCTGAGGTTAGGGCTTCTTGTATAGTAGAGTGAACCTCCCACTGTACCGGTCCCATAATGCAAGAGGAAGGAAGTATGGGTGTAGGGTCTGAGTTACTGGTCGGAAGGTCAAACTGGGGGGAGAGAGCATCAGCTTTTACGTTTTTCTTTCCAGGGATTTAAGTAATATGAAAATGGAAGCGTGTGAAGAAAAGAGCCCAGCGGCCTTGTCTGGAGTTTAACCTCTTGGCCCCTCTGATATATTCCAGATTACGATGATTTGTTAGGACAAGAAAGGGACTGTTGTGTGCCCTCCAACCAGTGGCGCCACTCCTCGAGGGCCAGCTTGATGGTGAGGAGTTCTCTGTTCCCCACATCGTAATTCCTCTCAGCGGCTGATAACTTCCTGGAGAAGAAGGCAAAGGGATGTGATTTGGGAGGTGTTCCCACCTGCTGAGAGAGTATGACTCCTACTCCTACTTCGGAGGCATCCACCTCCAGGGTGAAAGGAAGGGTCGGATCAGGTTGGCGAAGGACAGGAGCTGAGGTGAAGAGTCATTTCAAGTTGTTGGAAGCAGTCAGGGCAGTATCAGTCCATTGAAGGGTCCGGGTCTTTTGGCTGGTAAGGGCAGTGAGGGGAGCAGCAGTAGAACTGAAGTTCCGAATGAACCGGCGATAGAAGTTGGAGAACCCAATAAACCTTGGAGTTCCTTAATGGTGGTGGGTTTGGGCCAGTTACTGCCGGCGGTGACTTTGTTCTCATCCATGCTGACCCCTCCAGGTGTCAGTACGAAACCGAGGAAGTTTACTGAGGTTACATGGAAGGTGCTCTTTTCAGTCTTCACATAAAGGTTATGGTCAAGGAGCCGTTGAAGAACCTTTAGTACATGCTGTATGTGTTTCTTCAGGGAGTGGGAGTAAATCAGGATGTCATCAAAGTAGACGATGAGAAAGCGGTTGATCATATCCTGGAAAACCTAGTTCATAAAGGATTGGAAGACGGCGGGGGCGTTAGTAAGGCCGTAGGACATGACCAGGTATTCATAGTGCCCTCGTGCGGTGATAAAGGCTGTCTTCCATTCGTCGGCTTCACGCATACGGACAAGGTTATATGCACTTCGCAGGTCGAGTTTTGTATAGATGTTGGCGCGGCCCACTTGTTCAAGGGTCGCTGGGATCAGAGGGAAACGGTTCTTGACCGTGACATCATTCAGGGAACGGTAATCAATACATGGACGGAGATCACCGTCCTTTTTTCCAACGAAGAAGAAGCTGGATGCAGCCGGGGAAGAAGAAGGACGAATGAAACCGTTTTCGAGTGCTTCATCAATGTAGTTCTCCATTGCCTCATTTTCCGGGATAGATAGGGGGTAAACACGGCCCTTCGGTGGGGACACTCCAGGGAGTAAGTCAATAGCACAGTCCACTGTGCGATGTGGTGGCAGAGTGGAGACCTTGATTTTGCTGAAGACATTGCTGTACTGGGCGTATTCAGATGGTATAGTGGGTGGCACTGCAGAGGCAGAGTCCTCAATGGTGGTGGCTCTGCAGGGTGGGCTGATACAACTGGTGAAGCAGGTAGAAGACAAGGACAGTAGTTCACCTTGTCGCCACGAGATGGCAGGGTCGTGACGACAAAGCCAGGGGTGTCCGAGGATGAGTGGCTGTTTGGGGGATGAGAGTTCCATGAGTTGAATGGTTTCGGTGTGGAAGACTCCAATCTGGAGGGTGACGCTCTGTGTCAGGTGCGTAATGAAGCCCGTGCCCAATGGCTGCCCGTCCAGTGCGTTAATTCTTAAGGGAGGGGTGACAGGTGTTACATCAATGTCAAGCTCTTGTACTAGCTGGTGATCAATAAAATTACCTG